GTAACTGCTCGTAGTTTAAAAAAAATGCAATTTTTATATTATTTCGTCAATCTTCCTCCAAAAGTAAATTTGCTCATTTTTTTCAGATTTTTAAAATGTTTTCTAACGGTTCAGTATCGAGATTCGAATTCAGACCAACAAAGTTTAAATAATAAAATCATTGTAAATGATGATGTTCGACTACAAAAGTAGAAAGGCATTTTACCAGAGACGTGTACTGAATCTCCAGTTAAATATTAATATTCACTGGACAATCTATGAGATTCCTTAGTGGTTTAAACTCAACATAAATTTGAGAGGGAATTAAGTTACCCAGACTAGTCGCTTCGAGTGTAGAATAACACGCAGATTATCTCGTAAATGTCTCAGGAAAGAGGGATTCCTTAGAACTCGACAATACAAACTACTCGGGCAGATATACTTTAATGAATTCTCCTAAAACGAAATGATGAGCGCATTGTTTTCTGAAAATCCCAGAAATTAGGCGTTCACAAAACAATGCACATCATCTTCAGACCTATCTTCGCTCGCAATTCCACTGTAAAATTGATTCTGTCTATTAATTTCTGCAGAAAGAAATACGAGATATTTATATTCAGTGGAGTTTTCAGTAACTCCATCAGTGGTTTAAACTCAGAAGGAGTCCCAAAAGGGATTTAATTGTGGAAATCATCCACAACTCCGTTTAGAGAATGATCTGTATATATTTCAGTTACGAATAATTTGATAAGGAACACTTTCCCTGAAACAAATCAAGATATATTTCACATTTTCAAAATTAGACTCGATTCGTCCAAATTGCACACTGTTAAAAAGATTCGGCTGAATTTTCCTTGTCAAACCCGGAAATTTTTATCATGTTTAATTTTCACTGACATTTCAGAGAATTTTGTCATTGAAAAATCAAATATTCCATTGAATTTCTGTTCGGATGATCTGAAAGTCAATAAAATATTTTATTTTTCAGTTCAACTACTCCGCGAAAATTCGGAAAATTCAGGGAAAAATTGAAAAATCGTGTCATTTGTTTTCTGAATACTCATGTTCCACTGAAAATTTAATCACGTTGTGAAATTTTCGTTTTACGCCCACTGAAAACTCATGAATTTCCTTGAATTCTACCTAAAACTTGAAATTTCAGGAACATTTTTCCTCTAAATCGCATTCAATGTCACTTGCATGAGAATTACTACCATATGTTCCATAAAATTTCGAAAAATGTCTAACAGTATATTATTTGGTCGGGAGATATTGATTGGAGATGATCAATTCTACACGGAAAGAAACAAAATTATGTTTTACTATGAAAACAAAGTAATTCTTAATATGAGAAATAAAATGCAGGATCCTACCCGCCACACTCGTAAATTTACTATTTAATACAGTAATTTTGAGAATAAATGAAAAACTGAAACGTGCCGCATGGAAAATGCGGCTGATAAAATTAAAATATGATGGAGTGTGTTGGAAAAATGACAGTTGAACATAATAAAAATTGAGAGGCGGTATAGTAGAAAATGGCAGCATAAATTTAAATTTTCAATTGCCACGAGTAAAATTTAGGAGGATGAACATGAATTTTTACTTCGTCGATTAAAAAAATATTCTCTCCCCCTTTCAAAACGAATATGCGCGGAAGAGGACGAGGGAGAGGGGGATTTTTTGAATAACCAAAGTGAAACCACATTTAATCTTCTCTATCATCCTTGAAAATTATTATCAATAATTTTGCTCCACGTATATACATTCTGAAAAAGAGAAGGGGGAGAGAAGAAGGATTGAATTTTTTAGAATTACAGAATCCGCCACCCGGGCCGTTGCGTGGTCGACGGAGGGAGGGGATTCCAAGAATTGAAAACAATGAACGCTCTCGTCGTCCGCTGGAGTTTTTACTAGTCAACATAGTAATTTCTGCTATTTCCTCGAGGAAAATGTAGGAAGCGTGAGAATATAAACTAAAGTTTTAAATCGTAAGAAAAAATTGCAATTTAACACAGTAAAAATTCCTACGATTTGAGTAATTTCTCGTCGTTCAATAGCAAAAATTGGTAAAAAATAAAGCGTTTTTAACACGTTTGAAAATTTTTTTTTCGTCCGTGCGTTTATCACTGTTTTGTCCATTAAAAATTACTATGTTGAATCGTACGAAATGGAATTCACATCGCAAACGGTCGGTTAAAATAAATCAAATTTTCAATTTTTTCCGGTCTGATTCTCGATTACTATGTTCGCATAGTAATTTTTAAATCTATACTCTCTTCGTGCAGAATTATCAATATTTACCCAAAAATTAATCAACTTTTCCAACATAACACAATTTCCATAGTTCAATTCCCCCAAAATAATTCACAACGTCAAAGATTTAATTTCGCCAGTTTCGACAGGACCTAACAACCCCCCGAAATAACTCGACTCCGTTAATTTTTATCCCCCAAAATTGCAATATAAAGCTCAGTGAACATGAACATCGAGAGGTTAAGTGGAAAGTTATCTTTGGTCCGTTGAATTCCAACCGTTGGAACTTTGAATTTCCGAAATTTCATAGCCAAGAATATATGGGTAGTGGGGTTTATAGCATATAACGATAGCATAGGAAACTCAGACAGAAAATGACACCAACAACGAAAGTTTCTCCCATGAAACTCGTACTTCCCGGGGAGCTGAGTAAATCCAGTTCGTCGAGGAATTAGCACAAATCCCGGGGGAGGTGTCCGTGTTACGAGAAAATTTTCAATGTGAAAGTGACTCACGAGCTTGTGCGCAATCTACCCCTCCACTTCACCACTTTTTTTTACTGTTTATACAACAGGCGAAACAGGGATGCATATATTCTCTAATGAATTTTTTCCATTTATTTCCCTTTTTCATCACAATTTTCTAGCTGCCTGTATTGAGGGACAACAGTTGATAACAAGTTACAAAATGTAATTTGAAATAAATGAGGAAAAATTACTGGGAAATTTAATTTTGAGGGGAAAAATCGATGGGGATTAAATTACTGGAGATTGCTTCTTCGGGTATAATGATGGCATCAATAATGCAGAATCTTCGAGAAGAAAATGCGATGAAATGTTCATATTGGAAGATCGCTTGACTTCGTAATTGGAAGGTTTAGTTGAACAAGTGATTCCGGGCAATTGAAAATACTGGTCGATGAAATGAAAATTCGTCCAGAATTATCTCCTGATAGTTCATGGAGTAGAATAGTTCATGGACGATTCGTAAAACTGTTATCAGACGTGTGAAAAAATTGAATGAAAAATGAATTTTCGATGGAATTTTATGAGATGTTGATAACAATTCCGTTAGAATTGTGCACCCAGAGAAATAACGCATTTAAAACGAATAAAGTCGTGTTTTTATTCCAAAGGAGATGTTCTAATTTCATGAAATAAACAACGATTTCATTCTGAATTAGTCGTCTTGATTTGGATTAGAGAAACATTCGTTTCTGAAAAAAAAAATTCATTTGACGTGAATGAAAACTTAAATAAAAATCAATTTAGAGTATCAGCAATAGTTTTATTACTGAACGACCATTTCTCTGGGTGTATCGACTTTTTTCTACAACATATCTATCAAAAGATTGCACATTAAAGGATATAATTGTCAATAAAATTCCAATGAATATTCTATTAAATTTTTTTCGCACATGTATCAATTTTTAATTTAGTTCTTTCAGTATTTCACTGTAGATTTGTACGCAATCGTTAAGAATATTCATTACCTCCATCAAATCCCATCACCTAATAATTTTTTTACATTTAAGGGGAGACTACTATGAGTTTTAACAGTCGCGGACTATTTCAATGAGATTTATCATGCATTGAAGATCAATTATATATGCCTAATTGTTCCTTTGCCCTGCAGACGCTTGAAGTGTTAAAAATAGTCCAGAGCCTGCAATTAATGAACTATTCTACATGGATGGCGCAATTTTTTACATAAAAAAAATTAAATTAGCTGTCTAGGAGTCGAATTTCAAAAAACTCGCTCGTAATTATTATTGTACACATTTTTTTTCTAAGTTTGAAAAAAAACCTCTGTAGCTCAAAAATTAAAGGCCCTTGTTTTTTGAACATTTTAAGCATCTGTGGAGCCAACGAACAATAAACAATTGATATTTTTGCACTAATTATTCGTTTTTGGAAATATATAATCGATTTCCACTGGAATTTCATACGAAGTCTATAACAATTGCGTTAGAATTGCATTTCAATCAAAATGTTTCAATTTCATGAAATAAACAATGGTTTCATCCCTAACTAATAAACAAATTCTTCATTGGAATTAAAGAAACATTCGTTTTTACTCAAAAAGCTCTTTATTTGACGTGAATGAAAACGTCAATAAAAATCAAGTTCAAGTATCAACAAAAGTTCTATTACCAAACAACTATTTGTCTAGGTGTATCAACTTTTTTCTACAAAATATCGAAAACATAAATTTCAATAGAGTTCCAATAAATATTCTATTAAATTTGTTAACTCATATTCCGTCACTTTAGTAATTCATGTTTTTTCAGTTTTACTGTCGATTTGTACGCATTCATTAAGAATACTCATTACCTCCATCAAAACCCAACTCCTGATAATTTTCTTCAAACATTGTCCAACAAATTCCAGCCATTCATCCTAAATAACTAATGAAAAAGGTCTGGACAATCCCATTTGGCGTAAAAAAAATTGAATTGGAATCAACTATTGAACGTTGGCTCGTCGGACATAACGATGTTCTCAATAATGCACCAGAATTCTCCAGTACCCTAGGAACTTTAATCAATAATGCATGGGATTTTGTATTCCCCGGAGAAGAATCATAAGGATGGGATAAAAGTGCATACGATGCATATATTGGAACAAAACCGAGTCCACACATGGACCTGGCCAACTGCAGTATTAAAAAAGTACCAGTGAGTACATGACTCCACATTACATGAGAAGAGGGCAAGAGTGTGGAGTGTAAAAAGAGGGAAAATAGGAGGAGAAAAATGCACTAACCTGAATTTGGCTGGCCGTTGCTATTTGGTCGAGCAGATGGGGCACCGTCTCTGGCTTCAACTTCCAGCGCGTAAGCCCCTTGTTTTTCCCGATCGAATACTATCTTTGTAAATATCTCGCCTGATTCACGATTTATTTCGAAGTAGTCTTTTCCCTCGTTTCTACTGCTGTTTACGACGTAGTAGGTGACCTGGAATGAAAAATTTTTTTATTAGTATTTTTCGAGAATACTGATGGGGAACGCTATATATTTTCCAGATTGGGTCTGCTTTATTTGCGTTTTATGAACGAGTTCAGGGGATTATACGCCATTAATGCAATGCATATTGCCCTGGGACTTTTATTTTTCAAATCATTTTTTTCGTCGAATATATCGTTTCGTTTGATGTCTGTGGAGGAATTTTTTTTTTATCGTTATTTTACATCGCTTCGACTCGGTTAGGGTATACTGCGATGATGATCAAGACTTTAAATGGTCAGATCGCACCATTCTGCCCGGCCGGGATTTGAACTCGGAACCTTTCGCATGTGAGGCAACGAACTTACCCACTGCGCCAAGCCACCGGGCTTGTGTCGAGGAAATGAAGTTGTTTGAATTGGGCAGTTTTTTTAAGTTGAAAGTATTTCTATTGACAAGATGAGAACAAATTTAACGCAACGATTTAAATAAATAACAAATAACATGGCCGTAAGAAATTCCTGTGGCCTGGAGTAAATTTATTCCACAATTAGACAGTTTTAGAATAATACTTCATAATTAGTGGTATTATTGGCAAATAATAATGAAACATTGATACAGCACGTTTTTTGGAGAAATACCTTCGATGAACTTTCGATCAAAGTTGATCGGTAGATTATTTTTATTTATTTCAATGCTTAACTGAGGATTTTCTTAAATGGGTTTGGCGCAACCGGGCCACCATTTGATAATGTATTTTCTCTAATAATGTTTCTTTTTTATCTTTGTATTTTTCGAGAATATTGATGGGGAGAGATATATAATTTTTTTTATACGTGTGATCAACACAATTTGTTATGAAAAATTACCTGATTGTTTGGAGATGTTCCATCCTTATCTATAGCATTCACCTGAGTGACCACGGTACCGATAGGCTCTCCCTCGAGAACAGTCTCCTGTTCTCCTTCAGTGAATAATGGTATCTCGTCGTTGACATCCTCTAAGACAATAGAAACTGTCGCCTCAGACGCCAGTTGTTGAGCACCGTTATTCTGTGCGATAAAACAGTAAACAAATATGTTAGTCGGAGAGTAAATATTTGAACGTGCAGGGTCGTTGTGAGGATTATGGGAGAGCAAATATCCTGGAGATGTTGGTGTGCTCCTCGGAGAATCAACAGATGTAAAAACTGCTCTTTCATACGAAAGGATGAACCAATTATGGACTATTCCACTTCAATAATGGGGATAAATTGAATTACATTCTGAACCGGATGTGGATAGAATTCAGCAGTGGAATTTTTATCAGTTTCAATCAACGTTGGGAATAAACGTCAATTAAATTTTACAAAATTGGAAGAGGTAACGAGTTCTCTGTTCGTACCAATTTATACGTTTGAACTCCAATTACCGATTGTGGGAAAAATTCAGCGATTTGAGAGATTTTGATGGTCACATGAAATTCAGTGGAAGCTGATGATAATGGGGAAGTGAAGGGGTTAAATCAATATTTCGATTTTTCATATCTTGATGAATATTGTAGCAGCTTTGTAATGAGGCTTTTTAGGAGAAAATGTCAACAGAAAATTTTGATTGGGGATTGGTCGGATATAACAAATGTCTTTTTACATTTCCCTCGGCTAAATTGATGTATTTTATTATACTGCTACATTTTTAACAGAAGGTTCACTCCGGGAAATTTGTTTTTCGTTTTTCGGGTAAAAAAAGAATTTTCCGCGTGATTTTTCTTTAGGAATCCGATTTTGTAGGTCAACTTTGCCTGCGCACGCTAAATATTAGAGATTAAATTTGTTTTGAATCGAAAAATGGGCTTAAAAAAATCTACAACGTAGTTTTTTTTTTAAATAGTTGTTTGAATATGATCACAAATTTTCGTTTCTTATTTATGAACAATGCGGAAGATACAGTTTTAAGTTTATTGGTCAACCAATGAAAGTTATTATTTTCATTGGATTGATTATGATCTCGAAATTTTTTATGAGCATCAACTAGAATGAGTGAATTCCCATAGAGTAATAAAAGACTAGATGTCTGAGGACCAATAAACATAGAGTTAACATCAATAAATGAAGTTTATACATAATAGTTAGACATTTTTTTTTCTCGAGATATTCATGACTTGCGCTGAATTCTGCAGTACAAATTCAATTTCAATTAATTCATTTTTCAAATCGAATTTCCTCAATTGAGAACAATACTCATAACTGTAAAATATTACTTTCCCCCTTCGTCTTAACATTAAAGAAGGGAACAAATTAAAAATTCAACGAGTAAAAGGCAAGAATTTTTGATTTCCTTAAAAAAAATTGATTTCATCTCTTCATTTTCGTTCTTTCTCCATAGGACATGTATAGAACATACTAGAAACTGATACAATAATTAAATAGCAACATATCATTGAAAATCAAAGCCTTTTTCCTTCAAAATGTCTTGATTTGGGCTGAATTTTTCAGTAAAAATTAAATTTTAATTAATTAATTTTTCAAACCGAATTCCTTCAATTAAGAATAATACTCATAACTGTAGAATATTACTCTCCCCGTTCGTCTTAACAATAAAGAAGGGAACAAATTAAAAATTCTTGCCTTTTACTCTTTGAATTTTTAATTTTCTTAAAAAAAATTGATTTCATCGTTTCATTTTCGTTCTCTCTCCATAGGACACGCATAGAATAGTGAAGTACCATTAAAAATGAAATTTCTTTGATAACTGATTTTCAGTAAATAAAAACATCAAAAGACTTTTTCCCTCAAAATCCTTCGATTTGGGCTGAACTTTTCGAATCGAATTCCTTTAACGGAGAATAATACCCATAACTTTGGAATATTACTCTCCCCCATCGCCTTAACTCAAAGCATGGAACGAGCTGAAAATGCAACGAGAAAAAGAAAAGAATTTTCAATCATCTTGATAAAAAATTCCTTTCATCTTTTCATCTCCTCTCCCTCCCCGAAATAAACTCAAACTTACCTCCACACGTATCGTCAAATTGTACTCCTTTATGCTCTCATAATCCAGTGGATGATTAACTTTTATATCAGCCCACGTAACATTATCCCTGGATAAAGTTTCCGATCGTTGTTGCAGATAGAACGTATGAAACTTGTTGGTCTGTGCAGTGGACCCCGGCATTAAGTGGTAAAATACCGTGGGATTATTTTCGATTCCCGAGCTGTGGGGGCATACGAAAAACCATATAAGTCACAAGCACCTGGTGTGTGGCCCAATAATCTCTCGTTTTCCACTCAATACTTTGTTGGGCCCTCAAAAAAAAAACGAAAAGAAAAAAAAAGTACGGAAACAGAAACGAGAACGAAAATTTCCCCTAGGGTATTCAGGTTATACCGTACAAAACTATGAGTATCATAACGGCTTTAACGAAAGATTCCATGCGAAACACGTCATAATGAAAAACTTATTTTACCAAAAAATCCTTCTAGTAATAATATAATAATGGATAACACATCTAATTTAATGAATTTACCTAGCGCACACGTCGCAACTCACTACTAAATTTATTTAATCAACTTTTTTCCCTTTAAACTCCTTCAAATTCCCCATTAATAATCATTTTAGACAAAAAACCTTCAATATCATTAAAACTGCCTCCATATCCTCTCGTTGTCGTTTCTTTCCTCGTTAATAGCTGTATTCTCTCCCACAGCACTCATAATCATCATACTACAACTCGTCGTGACTCTAGAAGTGAAATCTCTCATCTACCTAATTCATAAAAATAACTCGCAGGCGGCATGATCACTTAATCAATCCAATGCGTGTTCTATCCTCACCCACTACTCAATCCCACCATTTCATCCTTCAAATGAACCGATTCCCCCATATTTCCTCCACCGTATGCACGTGAAATTCCATAACTCCCATTTCAGTGTATCCCAGCGTATTATTCCATTAAAAATCATTGGAATTTATTCACTCTGTATTGATTAAAAAATAAAAACCGAACACGACGCACGACGAACGCTGTTACCCCCTCCATTCGTCAATTAACTAATTCCCTTATATCTTTATTTATTCTATCAATTTTGTCACCGATTTTGATTGAATCACTTGCCGCGAAAAACGAAATACAGGGAATTCATGGAATATGCACTCAGCTGTTATTTATTTATCCTGCAAACGTTCGGCGGACGTTCATGTTCGGCATGTAACCGACCGTGTTAAAATGCTTTCGTGTTTAAGTACATGTGTCAATCGTGTGTGATGTTAGTCGCTCAAGCGTGATATCACCGGTATGACTTATGCATTTGTGCGCGTACGTGTGTACATCTATCGTAAATATATATATTGATATATATCTACTGAAATTCATTAATATTATCAAGTATCAGTGGACTTTCCCTAGCTCTCACCATCCGTAGCCCGGGGGGCGCGATCAAGCGGAGGGGAATGCTTCCCCCACTGCGCGTGTGACTTCATGCGCGAGGGGGGAAGCCTCGCTGCGTTACAGCGTTCTCGCTTCGATCATCCCGTTCCCTCCCTCGCGTGGGCACGCCCCCTGCGCGCATGGAAGTGGTAATCCCTAGCTCATCGTTCTCGGACTTCCAAGCCCCGAATACCGAAAGCTGGGGAAAGTCCACTGTTATATATATTCACGTGGAAATAAGCGGAGGTGGAGAAGTTCCCTTGGCTAGTCAGAATTCATTATTCTCAACGGGATATTCAGTACGGAGGACAGATGAGAAAAAACCATAGCCCCACAGGTTTATTTTCGAACGTCTTGTTCTGTGCTTCGGAAAAATGAAATATTTTTTTATATTAAGTTGTCTGTGCCGCGAGGTTGTGATTGCACGGAGTTAATTTCACGTGTGTTTCATAGTCTCTCGTGCGCGTGATATTAATAGGCATCTCGTGACTGTCCTTTACTCAACCCCACTAATTATTGAAGGATACATGTGGCGCAGGGGAAGAAATTCTCAAAAATTAAGAATTTTACAGTTCATTCCAACCGAAAGCCCGAGAAATTTTATTTTTAATTGAACAAAAAATGACTCGTATTGCCCCTGAGTTTTCGAAATATGGGAACTACTGGGGTAATACGGTTTTTTTTGTTTTAAGTAAGAAAAAATTTTGGCTTTGTGATGGAAATTTTCGAAAATTTCTCCCCTATTTGTTTTTTATTTCCTTTTTCATATTTGAAATGTGTTCTTTTTCATTTTTCGTGTTTAATACTCGTGTGAAGGTGTTTGGGTCTGAGTAGTGTATTTATTAAAAATATTGCTCGTCCGGAAATCCCTATCAATGAATTCCATCCGGATTATTTCATTTTTCTCCTGCAAACTCATTAATTTCACATCAATATATAAGATTGAATTTCACAGCTATATCAATTCCCGGGAGAATTACGACAACGCGGACGTGTACTTTAGCTCATCCTATCATCTATTTTTTTTTCTGATAATAATTATGGTAAAAATAATGATGCTGGTTGAACAATTCACATTCGCGAATGAAAAAATCTCTCTCGGTTTCTAATTATTTCAATGTAATTAAACTCTTTTAATTTTTTTCATTAAACTCTACGTAAACCAACTACGGCCTTCGAAGACACTAAACTCAACGCAATTTAAGCAACTGACGAAACATGCCCAAAAATCAATTACGGCATTCAAAATATATGGTCGACGTTCTATTACTTGATGCAAGTTCTCTGCAAAAGGGTAGTAAAATGGATAACAAACGTATAGGTAATCTTTTCAACGTAGGAATAAGAAAAAATAATCAATTTGGATGGAATAGAAACATTTGGAAATTCTTCATGATGATAATCTCGAGGCATTGACTAAATAAAATGATAAAGGATTACACTGTTAAAAAAATTGTAATTTCAGGGACAGTTGTAACATTGAGTTCAATTAAGAGAAAAAAAGAATAATTTAATTTCCAATTTTAGTGAAAATTTAGTGAAATTTCAAATTCCAGAGCAACAAAAAGACGAGAATTCCCTAAACAACGTCAAATTTCCAATTAATTGACAATCAAGAATACATTGAGCTGAATTTTTCTAATAATTGTTAATTTTCATGGAATAAATAAACTAAAAATGATTTTTCCAGAAAATTTCCATTTTACAATTTCGAAAATCCCTGAAATTTCAGTAGAACTAAAAATTTTCAACAGTGCATCCGCAACTGATGATTGGACAGCAAATCATGAAAATAATACAATGAATCAATGACGTAAATGAAGTAAAATAAACAGGGTAATTCACTCGCATCAATTTCTCACTTGGCTACTACGTCCTTGCGGCATTCTTTCGCAACAGTATATCATTAATTATTTAATAAAACCGTAAACTCCCGGACGAACGGCACAAAGGATCGGCAGGCAGCACGCGTGAGAATAATTAATCAATTTGAATAAAGAAAAATAAAGAGTGATAAATGACATTGATAAAGAGTCAACTCAACGAAACCATGAAAAGAACGAAAATACTCTCTCAATTTTGAAAGATGCCAGTAATTACGTCAACGTAACTGAACCAAATAATTATTTTCAATTCTTGTAATTCATTGTTTTCATAAAAATTGGTATCAAAAGTTTCAAAAAATCAACGGGGATTCTCAGGAAGCATCTATTTCGAAGCATGCCCAAAAAATGTTTACGGCACACATATGTATTCGAACTAATGGGTCTCTGTATATATAATTAAACAAATTAATATACTTTGCGATCCGTCCGGCGCGCCACGAAAACATTATAATCTAGTTCATATGATAATTCTCAGCCTTTCAACAAATTTATTTTATTTACTGATAACTATTATTTTCATGTAATATATTTTTATTACTGTTTCGTCTTTTCAAAAAACGTGAGCAGGCGGTATAAAAGTCTCATGTCATCGCGAGGGAACGTAGTGACTGCTCACGTCGACGTTTCACTTACATCACATTAATTAATGAATAAATTAATTATTGAAAAACCGTCACGAGGAAAAATCAATGGACGTTCATCAAGAATGTTGAAATATTGAATAGTACAATGTAAAAATCTTATGTAAAAATACAACAAGAATTTATTCATCAAGTGGAAAAGCCACTGGGGCTTGATATTTCAATAATAAAGTAATTTCTCGAGACATAGATAATTCCTTGAATATAATTAAACGTAGAAAATCGTGAATAACAAAAACATCGAGGCGAGTCTTCGTGAACAGCCACACACCGATAAAGACGTGCATCGAAGTGGTAATTTGTGATGTTTCTTTCATAAACTTTATCATTATCTGTTTCATGTGCGTTGTGGTGTGTCAATGATCTGTTAGTGATTCGTTATGTTCGTGTTATGTCGGTGATTGAGTGACAAAAGTCAAATTTAATGAACGTAAAAATGAAAAAGAAAGGTTACTAACGAACATAAATATTGAATAGTGTTTGACATAATGATAAATCAAATTAAGGAAAATAAAAAACAAAGTGGAATCATCGTGAGGGGTGAAACATTCAGAATTATGCAAGAATATTTATTCTTTGAGTGACAAAGTTCAATTTCTCGACTTGTTCATCAAAATTCACTCTCGATCCAGAAATTGAAATTCTTAAACTGAAAAAATATTACTCTTGAGTGATCATAGGTTTTGACAATAAAATACTCTCGATAATTGAGTGCTTTCCATCCCCACACACAGAGAAATGATTTATCTGAATAAAGGCTTCCTTAATGTTTTATTTCGAAAGATAAATTTTGTTTTTTAAATGAACGCATGAATAGAAAATGCCGAAGAAAGTGTTCAATTTGATTCAAAAGCCTCATTTCTCTGATTCTATGATGTAAAGTATACATGTAAAGTGTAATATTATTGATAAATAATAATGTAAAATGTGTGGGTTTCGTACACAATATCAATTAACGTGCACAAGAACAATACTGCCACGAGATTTTTGCGTGCAGGGCGGGTTCGTGCAGCCGCACGGAGCATTAACAGTGTGACAGACCTGGCTTTAACAGACACAACTTTAGCCCCAACGGCCATGTTCTCTTTACAGTAGATCGGGCCATACACTACGTGGTCCCATACGGGCGGATTATTAGCACGGTCCACAACGTCAATCTGAACCTCCACGGTTCGCGACAAGGGCGGATAGCCCTTGTCTTGTGCCATCGCCTCCAGCTTGTATGTCTCGCGCTACACCACATACGTATAACAAATGGAAAAAGAAAAAAGAACGTCGTTAGTCTTGTCTAGTGCTCGTGACAGATTCTTAAAAACAAACTCATGGGAGTTGGTGGTTGGTGAATTTTTGTGGATTTTTTTTTGTTTTAAAATTTCATTTTTAACTTTGAGAGAAATTAAATTCGCCTGATTGAAGGTTAATTTAAGCTTTGGTGTTTTAATTGAGACATTTTTTTTGCTCTCTCTGAGGTGATTTTTTTTTCTTTTCTTCTCGGCAAAAATGAAGGAATTAAAGTATAATGGAAATCATAAATGAAAAATAAAGCGCATCGATCGTTCTCTCGCTCGTGTGAGGACGGAGGCAGCAGCTGGAGGCTGGAGGAGGGACGCCAGGACGTCCCGATCGACGATCGTAGGCACCGTGGCTCTCGTGGCAACCTGTATATCACACCTAGGAAGTGTCAGTGTTTTTTATGGCACGTTAGTATTTATTTTTCTCTCCCTCCTTTTTTTGTTCGTTAGCAACTCTAGATTGTCGCTGCATTTTCGTCGGTATTTAACGATCGTCTACCAACGATCTACATGTGGGCACTATCCTAAACGCCTTTTTACTAGTTTTTATTTTAATTTTACCCTGTAAAAATCACTCGATGATTCCCCGGGTTTTTACTGCCCTTTGGAATCATGACTCTGTCGAATTCCCACAAAGTCACGACGATTATCATTAGGAAATTATAAATTATCGTACGACGATTGCAGTGTGCACGTTAACGTTGTAAATTATAAGATATAATTATAAGTAAGTCAACACAATTGGTGTTGAGGAGCCAAAGGACGCGTCATAATTTTTCTTTCTCCACTTGTGGCTTACTGAGACGATGACTTTTTGCCACTCGTGGGGAAACAATAATTATGAGCTTTTGTTAAACAGTTTCATCACTGAATTAATGAGTTAAATTATAATGGGCGAGCTTTGCTGGGCGCACCCACACGCCGCGCTTAACCATACGTGCTTTTATATTGACAAATAAACTGGTAATACTCAATCATTTCTCTTTCGTCGGAGTTATCAAGTGTTTGAATGGAGCTGTTGGATTGAGGAGAATTGAAAAGAACGAGAGACAGGTGGAAAGTGAGTGATAGATGTTTAGTTGAATTTTCATCCAGTGTTCGGTGTTTCAGGGTTAAGGGGAAGACAGTGTGAGACAGATTTGTGGGAAAGACGTGAGAATTACTGTGATTGTTTCGATTTATTGAGATTCGTGTTTTATTGGAAATTAAAAACTGGAAGAATAGTTGGTAAATTAGAATTTTTTTTTGTTGGTTTATTGGAGAATTCATTTTCGAATTGAGAATTCTTGGGTTGAGAAGGTGATCATATTCTCATTGGAAAAATAGGGAAATTTCTTCTAAAAATTGAAGAATGATCGAATACTTTTTATTGTTCAAGGTTTGTTGTTGTTATATTTCGATAATTATTGGGTTCTCCCAATAATTAGGCTGTTTTTTTATTATTTAGGGGAAGACCACACTGAAATTTAAAAATCGCTAGTGCCTTTATCTATCGTACTGATGAGTTTATAATAATATCATAATATGTCCACAAACATATTTAAATAAACTTTTTTGGAAATTTCTATTTTTCGAGTTTTTGATTTTTTTTCTCAAAATTAGTGAGCTTTAGAATGTAAGAAATTAGTAATATTTAACAACTATATTATGAATCATTAAAGTGGGGATTTTGTCAGAATTTTCAAATTATTTATTCATGATATAATGAGAAAATTGATTTAAAAAATCGGAGAAAATTCATACTTCAATTATTCACTATGTAATTAAATTCGAACAATTTTCTGGATTTTTCATCTGCAGCAATTTCGAGAAAAAAAAATCCAAAAATCCAGAAAATGAAGATTTTCGAAAAACCTCATTCAGTTATATTTAAACACATATTTTGCATTTGTAAACTAAAATTCGAGTCAATCGATTAAGAATTGCACCGTGAAGTCACTTGTGGAGATTCTATAAATGAAAAAACTCAACACTTAATTAAATTTTTTTTCACATCAAAACTGACGTAAGAAACTCATCAGCACGACGAATGAAGGCCCCTGAGGTTTTAAAATTTCAGTGCGGTCTCCCTTTTAACACAACTTTTACTGATATTTCTGAAAACATTAATTGAAGCTCCTAATTGAATCAAGATGATGTGATTAGATGTAATTTTCTTTGATAGACTGACAAACAATTACATTTTCCATTGATTTTCATCGTTTTTTAGCAATGGAAATATTGAATAGAATTTTTTTTACAGATTTTCATTTTTCTACAAACATTCCGTCGTATAAAATGTCCGGGTGTTTTCTACTCCATTTTTTTTCTCTTGATAAACAAAAAATCAAGCGAGAAAAAAAATTTCAAACGACCAATTTTTTTCCGAGCAAGGTCAATAGAATGACGCGAAAAAGATGAAAATCAATAAATTCTCAAAGTAAAATATTTACTATTCACTATTTTTTTAGAAAAAAACAAACACAGTAAAGCTGCCTAATGGTTCAATACAATCGGGGAAAAATATAGAGAATCTTCAATTACATTTTTGTTACTTGGCCGAAAAAAAATTTCTAGCTCATGTTATTTCAGTCATATTCCTCAAAAAAATTTCTTTCGGCCTAGTGACAAAAAATACTATTGTGACTGCTGCTACGTTCACCTCGTGCTGAAGTAATATATTATATCATCAGGCGATAAAAGTACTATCTGATGAATGTGACTTTATTACAATTACATGAGTCAGATAATTCTTTTATCGCCGTGTGACATACAATATTTTACGACTCGATCTAACCGAGCGAAGCGAGGTTCAAATCGCGGTTTTTCAGGCCTCGTATTATAATAGTACATTATGTCATCAGGCGATAAAAGTATTACCTGACAAATGCTATTTTATAATACTTTTATCATCATGTGACACACTAGTAGATTATGTCACAAGGCAAAGGTTTGTGAATCGTGTGAAGTTTGCAGCACGAGGCGTTGGTAAGTCCGAGACGAAGCTCGTCTCACAGTCCGAGAGTATGGAGTGGCGCCCCCCTTCCCCCCCACTGACGAAAAACCAAATATACAACAAAAAAAATTGTACATTTTGTCAAGTTGAAAAAAATCACAAGAAAAATCTAGCACTTTCATAAAAAAAATCGACTGAATTTCTATTGAAAATCTATGAGTCTATTGCAGTTCGGTGAATATTCTATAAAATAATGCTATTGGTTCTTCGCGTCATTTCTATTAAAGATTATCCAACGACCATGTCACATTTAAAAAAACAATTCTAATCAAAAATTGAAAAAATGGAACATTATGTCATCAGGCGATAAAAGTATTATTACCGCATAATGTATTATGATCGTTGGATAATACTTTTATCGGCGTGTGTCATGAAATATTATTCGACACACGTAAGACGGGAATTTTCATCTCGTGTGATTGGCAGTCTCGGCTGTGCCCTTCCCGCCAACTTCACACTCCTGAAAACCCCGTCTCCCTCATATCGAGCTATACTACTTCCTCCGTTCCCAACCACCTACTCTCCTTCGTTAAAAAAAAATCTCGAGAGATCCCCACCATTCGCAATTCCCAATCACCATCCTCAATTCGTGAATGAATATTCCCGTGTAATGTTAATCCAATTTTGTCACAATGTCTCCACAAAATTAACCAGAGAAAAAAGAATCAGATAAGAGATAGAGAGCACTGCATGGCGCGGCACGGCATGTCTCTTGGTCTTGATCATGTCGTGGCATACAAACCTGGCTTTCACCGACGTCACTACAGTACCCACTGTGACATTTTCTTTGATGTGAATGGGGCCGTATACATGCTCATCCCACAGAGGAGGTTTATTGTTTCTGTCTACGACGTCTAACTCAACGTCCACGTCAGCGGACAAGACTTCAGTCCCTTTGTCAGAGGCCCGCACCTTCAGGCGATACCTGTCTCGCTATTGGCAAAACATGGGCCGTCAAGTTACAGGACAATTTTCAGGGCCATTTTTTTAAAAATTGTTGTTGATGTTTTGTGGCTGTTGTTGTTGTTCTTTTTTTTTTTAATAGCGAATTATCATTCCGAGACATTGCGGAAGTTCTTTTGGCATTGCAGACAAAGGCCGTATCTACACGCGATAATGTACAATTATTGAATCGGCATTTGACATTGATCGCGACAAATTTTTTTTATCAAGATATCAGTGAATTATTTGCTATTGAAATAAAGACGCAAGCCGAAGTCTGGTAGGTATCCTCGCGAGGGACTTTCATTGTATTTTATTAAAATCCCGGCGATTGACGAGCCAGATTTCGCTTAGCTCTGGAACACTCAAATATCAGTGGCATTATGTTTCATGAAATTTAATTAACAATTACAACAAACAAAGGTTTTACAGTGAACGCCGCAGTACTGGTTTGGCGGCGGTAGGAGAGAATTGTAAAAATAATAATAATATATATAATGAATTCGATATATATGGTTATATATCGGGTGTACAAGACGGCAAATATTACTGGTGCTGCTACATATATTGTCAATAATTATAGCAATAAAATATTATTTGGTTTTGTGCTGCATTGCAAATAAATTACAACACTACTGTACAAGTATATCATGTTATGTATATTGTTTGAGATTTTTTTTTCGTCATTGTATATGATGATTTATCATATATTTCGTTGATGTATGGTACACAGGCTACGGCACGATGGATACCTACGCAGCTCGGGCTGAGCGTTGTGAGACAAAACGGCAGTAGTAAAATGTTAAAACCAAAAAAGAAAAAAAAAGAACAAAAACGTAACTAAAATCATAAAAATCAATTAAACTTAATATCAGAATAAATTACTTAAATTTTTGTACTGTTAAAGTAAGTGAAAATTATTTGTAGAATATCATTCGAGTGACATTCAACCGTTTTTTGTATATACTGGGCGACAAGAGCAATCAACAAAACGCACAAAAACATACGAATGAAAAGGAGAAAAACAGAGCAAAAATATTGAAAAAAAATTGACATCCAAACGAGCACGTTTTCAACAGAAAAGGGTAATTTACAGAACGTTAAGAGAAGCAGTACTCCGAATAATTGGAAACGTAGAAATAAAAAAAAGTAGCGAAGAGGAACTAAATAATTGAAACGAATGAGAGTAACAGAAAGTGGGGGAAAAAAATCAGGGATAAAACGCACTTGATGCACAGCATATATAAATGCGGAAATGTTCTGCTCTCAATGAAAAGTAGAACTGAATAAACGAATTAATAGTGAAAAAGAAGAGTTTCCTACTTACTGGAGCACAGCCCTTTTTTAGTATTTAATCGTTAATTTTTGTTCATCATGAAAATCCGAAGAAAGAAAATGGTGCAATAAAAGACAAACATAAACAATAAATGAGACGAAATTAGTATGATTTTTTTCATCTTGTTTTCATTTTTTTCATACGAAATAAATGCAGGCAACGGCATGCAAGCAGAATGCGTTAAAAAGAGGTTTTTCATTGATAAAATAAATTGGTAGGGGTTGGAAATAATGGTTTGGGTGGGGGGTGGGTAGAAGGCATTTGAATTGGATTTCAGTATAAATTTAGTATCCAACTTGTGGAGTTAGGAGGGAGAGATATCAACTGTTTGATTTGACTGTCGTTGAAATGACGTTGTAAAAAACCCTTATTAAAATAAAACCGCTGTGGCACTCAACTATCGAATTTCCATGTCCCGTATGCTGTATTTTCACATCGATTGTTTGTTACATTGAGTCTGTATCGTGACAACAACGCATATACAACGGTATGCCGCCCCAATCACAGAAGAAAAAATGTCACACCACGGAGTCCGTTTAGTTAAACTCATTGTCATGTTCAATATCTCATTTCAGTTGCTTATTCATTAACTTTTCTGCTAATTTTCTTAATAACTAGACCCGCGGTGCACACAATACAGTATCACAAAGGAATCGTCGTTTATACTTCATTGTTGATAATACCGAATCTAGGTTGCAATATGAGAAGTTGTGCCAGAAGGAAGAAAAGAAGAAGATAGATATTAATTAGACAGCTATGAAGACAGTGTTATGACGCTAGAGTGGGAGAAACGAATGAGTGAGTGAAGAATAACAAGATGAGAAGGAGAATTTGACAGTTCAAATTTTGCGAGGAACCCCTCGTGAATGAAGAATCCGGAAGATTGTGAGATTGAGAAAAGGGACGTTAGAGACTAGACGGAGAATGCAAGATAGATACTCCTTGTTTACCAAGGGACAATTAGTTAGATCAGTGGGGACAGCTTTTCTAGTCTGAGAGTGTGAGTGATAAATAACGAGCGGGAGGAGCGAGAGAGCGCGATCCTTTTTCCTGTAAAGGATTCAAAAAACACATTCATCATCAATTAAATTGCAAGCATGTTTCAAGAAAAATAAATTCGTAATCTCTGTTCTTTAAGATTTTAGGTTAATTTGCGTTTGTTTTTTTTTTAGATTGTCTGATGCACCACAAAATGCGTAGACGCTGAAGTACACCGTACGTGGGTCACTAAAATTCTGGTTTCCCACCTGCTCCTGGAAGTTTAAAAAACATCACTTCCCTTTTAAAAAACAACATTCTCATTAGTAGATTTTTCAGCTTCATCAAGACTAACAAAAGATGTAAATTCAATCAAAAGTAATCAGAAAACAAAGAGTAAAACAAGTTTAATTATTGGTTTATATTATCTCCAGTTTAATCCTTTTAGGCGTTAGTTTTATTATTATTAATTATTGTTATTAGTTAGATGGTTTTTTTAAATATTTAAGGGGACAATTGGGGTGGATGACAAACAAAGTAGATTAATTAGACAAAGAGTGCACACGCAATCGATGCGTTAGGCTCCTAAAATCACGTTAGCCCCAGCCACAGTCTTATTGTAAAGAAAAAACAAACCGACCGATAAATGAAAAACTAAAAATCTAATCAGAAATTTCAACAGGAATTTTCCTCATTATCAAGACTCACCGACAATCGAGTGATTGGAAATGGAATATCTGTTGTTTCAATATATTTCTAGAGGATTGATGATTTTATAACTCGAGGCTCACTCCATATGAGCATTTCAAACTCAAATATAATCATTATTTAATCAGAGTGGAAGACAGAGAAAGAGAGTGTGTGTTCTTTTCAAAAAATATATATATATATTAGCCCGAATTGGTCGATCGATTCAGGTACGTGAAGCATTTGAGGAATTCAGGCAGTAGCTAAGTATATTTACCATAGTGAACACATTGTGCATATCAATGGGAATTAAAAATTCTATACAAGTGCCGTAAAAACGTAACTCATTTATCAGTGAATGAGAAATAATGAATATCGATTTTTAAACGATATATTAGTATACAAAGTCTGTCTTGTTTTTCATTTTCACCTCCCGAATTATCATTTAGCAGTAAAAAAAAATCAATTAATTCGTGTTGTTAACGGAAATATTTAAACGTCGGCAGAAGGTGTACACTCAAGTTTATAAATATAATCTACGCAATCTAGGCGATTCTGGAATGCGATTAGCGTGTTGTTATTGTTGGATTGTTTAACAACTTAGGTAAATGACGATTAAAGCGTGATCAGAGTAGCCAATAGAGAAGTTATATTACATTATGTACAAGAGTCTCATATCAAGCTTTGTTTTTTGTTGATGATTAAATACATTTGTATTGTTTTTACAAAAGCGCCAACGCTCACGTATTCCAGATATCGACATTGACGATACTGCTAAGAGGTCTTTATGATAGATTTTTGTATAGCATGTTAATAAAGACGAGGAAAAACGATTGTGAAAAATGTGATACTCACGTCTAATGGCTTCTTCAATATTATCCAACCGGATTCCGGTTGGATTTCAAAGTATTCAAGATCCTGTCGATTGTTTGGTGAACTTAGGGAGTATATTATTGCACCATTATTGTCGGCATCCTCGTCAGATGCTGATACCCTGAGTATATTGGTGCCAATACTGGCGTCTTGCTTGACATTCTCGACGTATTTCTGAGGAGAATGAGTTTTTAATTACTTTACGAGCTGGGGGCAGTGGGCAGATTCAAGCTAGCGGGGTAATATAAATACAATTGAGCTCGGAAGGCAGGTAATGATTGCAAATTGTTTGGTGGTCAATGGTAACTCAATACCAAAGGTCCGTCGATGAAATTCGAATATACGATGGCTGTCATAATTACCCGTCCCTTCCTCTATGACTGAGTAAATGAACGACTTGAATTAAAAGAAGAAATGAATTTCTTCATCATGAAGGTCTACGGCGGAGTCAATGAAGGAACACCTCATATCCGTTAGAAATGATCAATCTGATGTAATAAGGAAGGACTACAGGAATAGTGCACTAGGAATACTTCCACGACTTGGATGATACGTGTTTTAGTGCCGAAATAGTTCGTCGTACCTTTGGAGATATTCGAATTCTCAGGGTGTACCAATCATTACTAAACCCTTTTAAAGATGGCTTTGAATACTAGAAGTGAAATAAAGGACCCTTCCCCGCTAACTATATCTGACTGGGCAATGGAAATTGCTTACTTGACGATCGAAGAGAGGCGGATTGTCGTTGACATCTGTAATTTCAACCGTGAATGAACATACGCCCTCGAGCGATGGCTCACCCTGATCGGTTGCTTTCACTGTCACTGATACGAATTTGCCGTCGTCTCCTTCTCGATCAAATACCTGGACAATGAAGATAATTAGTATTGGGGGCTTTTGGGGTATGGGAGGGGCTGGATGGATTTGGGTGATTTTCAGGCAAAATTAGAAGATCATCCAAATCAACAATTACAAAGTTTCCATTTGGAAGCAAAAAGGATCTAATATCACACTGATAGAAGCATTTAGTTGCTGTTAACGAGGCTTCTTAACTATTACCACGATTTGTTAACTATAGGTAACTATTACTTATTAGTTATTGTTAATGATTCGTTAATAGCTACCGAATCGTGTTAATGGTTAAGAACACGCATAAAAAAATTAAATAGAAAATCTAGCGAATTTGCTAGAAAATTCTATTGGAATTCTATTTAGAAATTCTATTGCCGAAATTCAGATTTCAGATTTCAGAAATGTTTTTCAGATTTCAAACGTCAGAAACGCACGCGGCGCTCACGGCGTTTCAGAAACGTTTTTTTCAGATTTTAATTCGGATTTTTTTTTATTCGACTGGTTTTGTCTTTTCTTACCTCGATTCTATTGGATATTCAATAAGAAACAGTTAATAGATTTCGAATTTCTGTTTGAATTTTTCTCTTAGATTTTTTCTATTACAATTATTGGACACAAATTTTCTAAGTTTTTTTCGCTGGATTTGGTTTTGTTTTCCATTGCAGAGTCCGAGTGGAAAAAACTTGGAAAATTGGTGCCCAAGCATTCTTATAAGAAAAAAATTCAAACAGAAATTTGAAATCTATTGACTTTTCGTTATCGAATATCCAACAGAATCAGTGCAAAAAACAAATAGAATATTTGAATAGAATTCTAATAGAAATCCTGTAGAAACCCCATAGAATTCCTATAGAATTCCAACAGAATTTGTTAGCCAATTCGCTAGGTTTTCTATTGGATTTTGTCATACGTGAAGCCTCGTTAATGGCAACTTAATCGCTCCAAATTTTCTATCAGCGCACGAAAATAATGTTTTTAATTAAGAAAATAGCATACAAAGCATTAGAGTATGATTGAAAAATGAATATCTTCTTTGATCATAAATGTTCACTTTGAAACCGGCTACTAATCAATATCATTAGCTTGAGATAGTTAAATAGATGATCATAAAAGTTATCGAAAGAAGAAATTGCCTCCATTCTCTACAACTGAAATGATTTAACAAATTTTTTTGTTCAGAAGTGATTCTTCCCCACGGTGAATGAATCAGTATGTAATCCAGCCGATTGTGAATGAATAATATATCAATGATTTCGGATTGAATCCCATGAAGAATGTCAATGAGTCCATGACTGAGTTTCTATGTTTGACCAGTCAGCTAATTGTGCGATACATTTGTGCGTTGGTGTTCATGAAATATGGCACGACTAATTGTAAAAGTCAAATTACATAATGATGTGTTTGCTTTGTTTTTGGCGTCGAATGCAATATTTTCAGGTAAATAACAGAAACTGCTGTTCATTAATCTCGATGAATTTCAATTCATCACGTCATTACATTGAATAAATAAAACTGCGATGCAGTAATGCAATTGGTTGAAGTTATCGTTGATCAGGTGCTCTCTTTTCGTATCAAATTTGCATACTAAATTGAATGTTGTGGTAAATTTTTATCATTTCTGCAGTGAATAAGATGAAGGGAAATAGAAAAACACTGACAGAATATTTAATCTCGAATGTCAGATGAATATTATTAAATTAGTCAAATATATAAATGATCTTGGATAGAATCCCAGATAATTAAAAAAAAAATTAAGAAAAATTTAATGTCAACAGGGAAAAAATTTTATTTTTAGGGACATTTCACTGGTTTTCGGGACCTATCTGTAATTTTTAGAAATTTATCACCAAATTTCAGTAATAATAATTCTAAAGATCAGCGGCATGACCCTGAAGATGAAAACTTTATATTCTCGCAGATTTTTTCAATAAATGTTCAGTCAACTCGAATGTCTGTCCAACTTAATATGCAATTGCTACATTGAATACGAAAAATTTTTGGTTTGTTGAGAATAGTAGATCTACAATCGAATATTTCGATAACAACTTCACTTTAACTCAAGATCAAAGTATTGGAGAGTACGCGGGTTTAAATAAACACTAGTTTATTAATTAAAATGAGACAAAGATAAAATACAAGGACAAGTGTCAAATCGGGATCAAAAGAATGAATGGAAACAACCGAGAAACAACTGAAAATAAAAGAATGCATGAACAATAGAACGTAATTGTAGAAATTAGAGATTCGTTATAGTATGAAAATTAAGGTAAAAATCTCCAAAACTGATTGACTTTCCTTTCTTCTCCTCATCAGAACAAAAATATATACCTTATTCGTCGAGACTTGGCCGGTTTCTTCATCGACAGTGAATTTCGTTCCCTTCTGATTGGGCTGCTGCACAATGGAGTACTTGACTTGTCCATTGACCCCCTTATCCTCGTCAGTGGCTTGTACTTTGATGACAGGACTGCCATTGGCTGCCCCCTCCTCGACTTTCGGTGAGTAACTGCCGCACTCCTTGAACACCGGCTTATTATCATTAACGTCAGTGATAAAAACAACAACAACAGCTGTACTCGTGTGAATATTCTTCTTTCCATCGGGACAGCAAGCACCATCGTCCATTGCCGTTACATTTAACTCGTACTTATCACGCTCCAGTGATATGTCTGAGCCACGCAGACGAATAACGCCGGTTATCTCCTCGATGACGAACTGCCCGGATTCAGTCGTAGCTCCGACAAAACCAAAGCGCACGTTGTCACCGTCCTTGTCTGAGGCAACAACGGTCGTCACCAAGGTGTTAGCCCCGGCGTTCTCGTCCACGTTTGGCGTGTACACTTGTTGCGAAAATTTTGGCTCCTCGTCGTTTTTGTTTTTCGTGTATATCCGAACTGTTGCTTGGCCAGTCTTCGGGGGAGCACCTGCGTTTATAAATTCATTAGTGGGTTTGAATTCAGATTTGGTAATTTGTAATTTGACTCGTCTTCAGAACCCATTTTTGAGAAATCGGCGGAGGGAGTAGAGCGATATACACTGGTAGAAACATTTGCCGAATTTTCCGGAAAACCACGTTGAATTCGATTTAAAGGGAAAAGTCAATGGAATTTCAAGTTTCTCTGAACATTTAAGTTGAGTCCAAATTTCTTAGCAACAGGAAGACGGAAATTTCACAATTTACATAAATTTTTGAGTGAAAATCAATATTCACTGTTGAATTTCCTTGAATTTTTAAGGAATCGTTTGGAAATTCAGCGGAATATGGAATTCCAGGAGAGATTGCTCTGAATTTTCATTAATTTTCCCGGAATAATTAAACGAAAATTTAGATTTCACACGGTTTTTTCCATGAAATTATGAATTTTCAATGACAAAATTCCTTGAAATTTCAGTCAACATGTGACTTCTTATGAATTTCCTCGACCCTTACCGTAAATTTAAGTGGAAAATTTTTAGCAGTGTATACGGAGAACAAAAAAGTTTTGATTTTCAGGGACAGGTGACTGATTTTCAGTAATTTACCCCGAATTATTGCGGATTCCCATTGATAAATTTACTAGTGAGTTGGAATTCAGATTCATAAATTAATTATTTGATTGATCTTCAAAATTAATACTTAAGAAATATCTGTGAAAACTAGAGCAATACATGTGCGGAGAAAGACAAGTTTTGATTTTCAGGAACATGTCACTGATTTCCAAGAATTTACCCCCAATTATCAGGGATTCGCGATTGTTAAATTCATGGAGTGCAAAATTCTGATATTCAGTGATTTGGTCACTAAGTTTTAGGGACATCATCACTAATTATTAGATGTCACTGATTTTTTAGTAATGTAATTATCGGAGATAGATTTCTAAAAATTAGAGATGAGTTCCTCTAAAACAGGGACATTTTCCTGAAAATTAGTGACGGAATTATGAATTTTTATTCGAGGGCATTCAAGTAGTTTGAAGTGAAAATATCGCAAAAACTTCTCGAATTGCTTAAATTAGTTTAGCGGACTTTTCAATCAATCTTCCTAATCCTCACTGAAAAATTCTACTGAAATTTAAATTTCCATCGATTTTCTCATCAAATTACGAATTTTCAATAATGACTTGTTGAAAAATCCAGAGATGTCTTCAAATTCGGAGAACTATTTCTCATTTCATGCACATAAAAATGAATTCTCAATCAATCCAACATTTGCAAGCGATTAATTTAATATTTGACGTTTCCTCAGATGTCCCCACCTGCCACAACGGTTCTTCCATTGAAAATTTGATCATTCTATTACGTTCGAACAGTTCCAAAATAATGTCCCACATTTCCCATTAAATGCTTCGAAAATGGAGTAAGAGTTCAATCCACAATCAGTCAAAAATACTCTGAATTCTCGTTCATAAATCGCGAAGGCTAAAGATCATTCAAGAGTCCGTAAAAATACTATTTCCGGCGAAACGTCACAAACTCACTGAATACGAAGTCCAATTTCCCCCTTTTTCAAAGAAGCGAATTTCAGTAATACAAATTGTGCTCATTCCTCGGAACACTATTCACAAAATCTATACAACATTTTTCTTTCAAAATTATGCAAAACCTATGACGAAATTTACATGGCAACCGTTTAAATCTGTTGCCCTCAAAGCATTCAAATTCCCTTCATCAACTGGGTTTTGTTTCAATCGCGAAATCCAGGGAACTCGGCCAATTCCATTTTCAGGGTATTTTCACTCGTTTTCAACCCATTAAAAAGATTATCCTCTCATTACGCAATTCAACAGTGGAGAAAATCGAATTCATCGGGCTCTCACTGTTAATCGAGTAGAACTCTACATTCTCTTTATGTATGTTATGAAATGTCCACTGGTATTAATTGAGAATTCCAAAATGCAAACATTCGGAAAATTTTGAATGTTTTTTAACTGATGAATAAAATTCTTCCTTTATGCTAATGTGAATTTGAGACCACCCACAGGAATGATCCATTTGCATAACTTCTATTCAAACTCGAGCTTGTTTGTTATAGCATTTTAAACTGTATTTTAAATATAAACAAATTCGTAACGAAGCGTAAAACGGTTGAAATTGATTTTGACTATTGGTCGGTTTTCAATAAATATCTTGGAATCTAAGGCAAATGGCAAAATTTTTATCATAACCTTTTTTATAGAGCGACTTAAGGACTACAAAAAAGGTCTTTATAAAAATTTCGTTATCTCCCTTACATTCGGAGATATTCGGAATTGACTCGAAACGTTTTACCGCTTCGCTAGTGAAATGTTTTTTTTTAAATTGAATAAAGACGTCGTTAGTTAGAAATGAAATTAGAAGAGTAGCTAGGAAATACGGCAGAGAGAACAAGCTTATTAACTTATGTAATAATCTTTTGTTTAAATTAATGAATCGTTCATTTCACTCTGATAGAGAATTTACTCGGAATCACATGATTATTTATTTCGTATAATTGAAAAATTTCTAGTGGAATAAATATCTGAATTTGTTGATTTCCAGTAAAAAATGTTGTTGAAGTGAATAGAGAAATTTTGAGTGGAGAGCTTTAGTCATTTCTGTGAGTGCGATTGAATTAATTTTTTTTTCATTAACAATATTCTCCATTTTTAACTTCATTTTTTAGGTTTTTTTGTGAATGAACTGTCAGTTTGGAGAAGAATCCCATAAGAGTCTCTGTACAAAGTCAATTTTCATTCTTCTCAATCTTTTGCTCAAATTAATTAATTGTTTATTTTATTCTGATCCATTTATTCCATTTGGAATCACTTGATTCTTTATTTTGTATTATTGAAATATTTCCGTTGGAAAAAATCTGTGGGTGATTAATTTCCGGTAAAAATGTTGGAGAAGTGATTGCGGAAATTTTGAGTGGAGAGCTTTAGTCATTTCTCTGCGATGATTGAATTCATTTTTTATTTACAATATTCTCCATTTTTTTGTTAATGAATTATCAGTTTGAAGATGCATCCTACTAGAGCCTCTGTGTAAGGTAAGTTTTATACAGTTATCTCATTTTTCCGAAGCTTGAATTTACTGCAATAGCTTTGACAAAATATAGCACGAAGTAGTATATGTCGATACAAATGCGACGGGTTTTCCACGAGTGTGAAGTTGCCAATCACACGAGCCGAAAAATCCCGTCGCACATGAGTATATATTTTCTCAGTGATGTTACGTTCAACAAGCGCCAAAATGTTCATCATTAAAAATTCAAAATTTTCCAGAAAAGTCGGAAATTGTAAATCTGATTTCAATTAATCTAAGAAAATTCATAAAAATCAGGAACATTGCGGTAAATATAGTCATGATTCTTCAATTAATTGCAAATTCAGTGGCAATCATTCCTTGTATTTTATAAGTGACCCTCGTCACAAAATTTCAAAGTATATTTAATAATAATTTCATGCCAAAAGGCTTCTATTGTGAAACATCCACCTTGTATGTGATTTGGTCTACAAGACCGTTGAAACTAGATTATTTTGGGAAAATAATTTGAAATTTTAGAGAAATAATTAGTTTAATCTGGTTTCAACGTCACAATGGCTACGACGTTTCAAAATGTTTTAGATGTAAAATTCTGTTCGCCCTTAAATGATCTCTGTATCTCAGGGTAAAATAAAAAGCATTCTATCTATCTATATCATTCATTAGAAAAAATCACCTCATCAGAGAAATTAGAACAGAAATTTTCCAAAAATTATGAGTCGAATTGATCCAGATGTGCAAGTCAAGAGTGTTTGCAAAATAAGAGTGGACGTGAGGAGTTAATCAATTTAACCCACACATAATTATACCTTTGTCCTTAGCAGTAACTACAAACTCGTAGTAAGCATTATTATTATCAGCGTCTAATTGTTTGTTGTTGACAATGAGTCCACTGGAATCCACACTGAAGTGATCGTCTGATACGAGATACTCGATATCGGCATTGCTCCCCGAATCCGCATCAGTGGCTTTGACTTTGAGGATACTGGTGCCCAATGGTATGTCCTCATCCACATTATGAGCCTGATAGTCGGGAAGCTCAAACTTCGGTGCATTGTCGTTAACATCAGACACCCTGATGGTCAGCTAAATTACAAGAGATAATGAGCCCATCATTATCAGTTTCTCTCGAGTTGTTCTTAAATACTCTAATCATATTTTACGTTCAATAACTTTACCTCAACTGACGTTGAAAATCCACCGGAATCTTCGGTGGCCGTTACAACGAGGGTATAAACGTGGGGCTGTCGTACATCCTCAAAGTCCAATTCCTTGGCAAGTTTCACGATGCCAGAAGTTGGTCCAATATTGAAAGTTCCAGCGGCCCCCTGACTCTGCGCTTTCAGGGTGTAACGAATTTCACGATCGGCAAAAGACTTGGCTTTGACGGATATAATACTGCAGGAAACAAGTTGCAGAGTTAACATTTATGGTATTAGACTGGCATTTCATGAGGGACTTTCGGACTTTTTTTCATTCATTATTAGATGAAAGAAAAAACAATGGAGAGGAACCACTATTTCCGGGCGATCGAGACTTGTTCTCTTTGAAATGTTTGGTGGATTCCAGAGATTAAACTGGATATCCGCTGTTATCAGTTTGCAATAGTTTACGGGAAATGAATTTCTCGTAATCTATCACACAACAGTTCAGCATTTTTATTGATTTTCTCAACTTCTGACGCAAAAAAAAAATTTCTTGAGGCAAGAAATCTTCACTTTGTTCTAAAATATTCATGTTGAAGTCATGAACACTTCACCGAATGCTTATATTTTTTGACTCATTATGCGGAATTCGTATCCCAAGCACTTTATCCTTAAGAGAAGTGGTATTTGGCACAAGAAATTGGCTTTTTGATATTACGTCGACATTTCCCTCAGTGTGCTTCATTGTTCTAACAAGATACTGAATACATCGACTTCGAAATACTGAAACATTGTTCTTCTGAAGTTGAGTAAACCGCGTCTTATTCTAAGGAAAATGCATGTCGGAACTGGAAGTCCTAGACACTATCCTAAAGTATTCGTGTTCGAGTAAAGAAGACTACCGAATGCTTACATTGTTTGACTCATGATACGGAATTTGTCTTCCAAGCGATTTACCCTTAAGAGAAGAGATATTTGCCTCAAGAAATTAGTTTTGTGATATTACATGCGCATTTCTCTCAGTGTATTTAATTATTCTAGAAGTCGAGTAAACCGCGCCTTAGTTTAAGGAAACTACATGTCGGAGCTAGACTTCCACAACAATCAATACTGAAACAATAACTCAGTGTCTCATTTTAAGTCATTTTCTCATCTTTTGACACAAAAAGAAATGATTTCTTGAGGCAGGAAATTCTCACTTAATCCTAAAATATGCATGTTGAAGTCATGAACACTTCACCGAATCCTTACATTGTTTGACTATTTATAAGGGATTAGTACCCCAAGCAATTTGTCCTTAAGAGAAGAGATATTTGCCTCAAGAAATTAGCTTTGTGATATTACGTCGGTATTTCTCTCAGTGTGCTTCATTGTTCTAAGAAGATGATGAATACACCGACTTCGAAATACTGAAACATTGTTCTTCTGAAGTTAAGTAAACCGCGTCTTGCTATAACGAGAATGCATTTCAAAGCTAGACTTCCACAACAATTAACACTGAAACAATGACTCAGTGTCTCATTTTTAATCGTTTTCTCATCTTTTGATACGAAAAAAACGATTTCTTGAGGCGAGAAATTTTCACTTTATCCTCTATCTATACCGTATAATGGTAACGGACTCAACTGAAGGCAATGCAAAATTATATTGGAGAATTGAAGGGACGAAGTATTGTAATACTTTAGAAATGTGATGTGCACATATCGAAACACACGACGTTCTCTGTAAGGTCGAGGTACACCAGCTATGCTGACTTTCTCAATAAACCGAAACATTGATTGACTGATTATACAGAACTCGTATTCGAAGCAATTTATCTTTAGGAGAAGAGATATTTGGCCCAAGAAATTAGCTTTGTTATATTACATCGCTATTTCTCTCAGTGTACTTAATTGTTCTACCAAGATGATGAATACACCGACTCCGAGTAAAGCGCGCCTCACTCTAAAGAGAAAGCATGTCAGAGCTAGACTGCCACAACAATCAATACTGAAACAATAACTCAGTGTCTCATTTTTAGTCATTCTCTCATCTTTTGACACAAAAAAACGATTTCTTGAGGCAGGAAATTCTCACTTAATCCTAAAATATTCATATCGAAGTCAAGAACACTTCATTGAATCCTTACATTGTTTGACTCATTATACGAAATTAGTATCTCAAGCAATTTGTCTTTACGAGAAGAGTTATTTGGCCCAAGAAATTACATCGATCCCACAAGATCGATGATGATTTTTGATGATTTGAATTGGCTTTGCGAAATTACATTGGTATTTCTCTCAGTGTACTTAATTGTTCTACCAAGATGATGAATACACCGACTTCGAAATACTGAAACATTGTTCTTCTGAAGTCGAGTAAAGCGCGCCTCACTCTAAAGAGAAAGCATGTCAGAGCTAGACTGCCACAACAATCAATACTGAAACAATAACTCAGTGTCTCATTTTTAGTCATTCTCTCATCTTTTGACACAAAAAAACGATTTCTTGAGGCAGGAAATTCTCACTTAATCCTAAAATATTCATGTCGAAGTCAAGAACACTTCATTGAATCCTTACATTGTTTGACTCATTATACGAAATTAGTATCTCAAGCAATTTGTCTTTACGAGAAGAGTTATTTGGCCCAAGAAATTACATCGATCCCACAAGATCGATGATGATTTTTGACGATTTGAATTGACTTTGCGAAATTACATTGGTATTTCTCTCAGTGTACTTAATTGTTCTACCAAGATGATGAGTACACCGACTTCGAAATACTGAAACATTGTTCATCTGAAGTCGAGTAAAGCGCGCCTCACTCTAAGGAGAAAGCATGTCAGAGCTAGACTGCCACAACAATCAATACTGAAACCATACTAACTCAGTGTCTTTCTTCTGGTTCTCCGGTATCTCAGTTTCATAAGTAGGCAGGTAGAACTGCGGCGCCCGTTTCCCCCCGACAATCGATAAACGTTCCTCCGGAGTTGACTGAAAGTGTTTATCGTCGATCCTTCCATTCTGATCCTCCGCTTTCACATACAGCACATACTCCATGTCCAATTGAAAGACATCAGTGCCCCTGGTACGTACCACACCCGAACGTTCGTCGACCTCAAATCGACCGCCAGCTGTTGGACAATTTAAATTATCAATTCGTTAATGAAGTCGTTCCATCTCATCGTGATTAAATCCAATTGTTTTATCGCATTACAACTCACTTCGATCACGAACAATGAAGTAGTGGATATTGTGATCAGTATCTGGATCTCGTGCCTGCAGAGTGAACACGTGGGTGTTGGGTGATGCATTCAACTGTACCACAGCCTGCATCGGCAGTGGCTTGTTTATGAAGTACGGTGGCTCGTCGTTAATGTCCTTGATGTTGATTATCACACGCTGATTGTCGGTGTCTAGAATTTAAATCATCAGTTGAAATCATATCTGTGATTTCCGGGGACTCGTGATTTAATGTTATTGTGTTAGGCTGTCTGTTACTCAAGCTGAGACTTGTAACCAGTGTTTGCTGCTAATGTGTGTCAACTAATGATGGCTCGATTGGCATGCAGTGTGAGGTATTGATTCGTTGCTACTTACATTGAAGCTCTTTTGTTGCCAAGGAGATTTGTGATTTAAAGGGTTGTGATTTTTTGGAAAGAGAAAATCATGGATTAGTTTTGCATTTCTGTACTTTTTTGGTATAACTGGAGGAGATGCAATCCGAGGTGTTCTGAGATTTTTTATTAGATCGTGAAATTACGTTTTTTGAATTGAATAGTGATTTTTTGAATTGATAGTTTAAAATTTCGTCTTCAGGCGGAGATGTTCTCAAACTTTTAACTTTATTTTTACTTTTGGCTCAGACATTTTGTCCAGTCATATCTTCAATTTTGTTATATTTTTTACATTTTTTTGCATTGAATTTTGATTTTAAAAAATTCGTCTTCTGATTAAAATTTTTTTTTTACATTTTTTGAATTGAATATCGATTTAAAAACATTCATCTTCATATGAAGAAGAAAATATCTTCAAACTTCTCTGTTCTTTTTAATTTTTGGCTCAGACGACCCGTCTAGTTATGCCTCACAGGTTTTAAATTTTTTTTTACATTTTTTGAATTGAATATTGACTTCAAAAAATTCATCTTCGTATGAAGAAAACGATATCTTCAAACGTTTCCATTTATTTTAACTTTTGGCTCAGCCGATCTGCCCAGTTATACCTGAAATTTATTCTAGTCTAAATATATTTTCGCAATTTAGAGATTCAGTGGAATAACGTTATAAGTAGATTACCCAAATTGAGGGCAGACATGCGATGGTGAAATAATTTTGGCGATTTTTGTCATTCAGAAAACGAGAAAAATATTCTCTCCGGAGAAAATTTCCGGTGAGTTATCAGCTAAAAAGCCGATGCCACTGAGGAGTTATTGCTTGTTTCGATAAAACATCAAATTTGATTTATTTCTCGACGATGAATCGAGAGCGTGACATGGAGAACGTAATCCGAAGAATGACATCCACGTCTGGTTCAATTTTTTTGCGCCTCTGTTTGTAACTCAATTTTCGTGAAATGGCACCAGAGTTTTGGGACTTTGGATGTTTCTTATTGGAGTTATCTGAGTGGGATTGATTTCAAAGTGTCGGGGTGGGAGGATAAATTTAGGATTTAGATTGGCGGCCGGATGTCCGTATCTAGGCTGGCTGGATGTAAGTGCCAATCGGTATGACTGCGGGGGTTCGACGGAGTGGTTTGTATTTTATTCGTGTATTTATAGCCAGTGGAGGTGAATGTGCACTGAAATTTAATGGAAATGGGAATCAATGGATATCAATTATTGTCGGCGAGGGTTTGATTATTGATTCTTGGTAATAATTATTGCGAAAATCGGTGTAATGCGGTCGAGACGGGGAAAAAGTTTTGGAAATATCTTGTGAGTGATCACAAATAAGAATTTTAATAATATTTATCGAGAATAATAAAGAAGTATCACGAAAAAAAAAATACTCGAATGGAGGACGGGTGTTTCAATTCGAGGATGATTATTTCGTGTCAGTCCGGGTTGTACCAAGCGCGCTCAAGTGGAATATAAGGGTCAGACACTAAGTGTAAGAATATAAGGGTCAAAAAGTGGAGGTTAAAAAATGAGGGCCGGAATATTAGAGTCAAAAACTGAGGGCCTGAATGTAAAGGTGAAGGAATGAGGGTCAGAATGTTAGGGTTAAAAAAAGAGGGTCAGAATATTAGGATAAAAAAATTAGGGTCAGAATATAAAAGTAAAAAAAGTGGGTGTCAGGCAATGAGGGTCATATAAGGGCTAAGAACGGGGATCAAGCATAATATACGACTTATATTTAGACCCTCATTACCTGACACCCACTTTTTTTACTTTTATATTCTGACCTTAATGTTTTGACCCTAATATTCTGACCCTCATTTTTCAACCTCCACTTTTTGACCCTTATATTCTGACACTTAGTGTTTGACCCGTATATTACAGTTAAGAGGGCTTGCTATAACCCGGACTGATACAAAACAATCATCTTCGAATTGAAATACCCATCCCCCAATTGAGTACAAAATAAATTTTGTCAAGAAAACTTTTCAATTCACATTATTGCAAAAAGCTTTTATAACAAAGTTGAGAAATTTTTCTTGCCACTGGACAACTTCCATCATTATATTCTATATTACGTGTCCACGAAAAGAATAGAAATTCTCACCACAATTAAGTCATAAATTGACAAAGAAATCACATCTATCATTGCCATAATTACTGGAAAAAAAGTCATCGTATATCTCGGAGGAGAACCTTTTCCTTCAAAGTGAGACAAAAAGTATTGACAAAAGAGTTGAAAAAGTTTCCTCGTTATTGCACAATTTCCATCGTGATATTTCATACTTTGTGTCCACTTAAAATGCAAAAATTCTGCTCCGTTATGACAGAGAAAAAACTATCGTAAAAAATCCTTTTTGCAATTTAGACGTCGCTTGCATTTTCGTAATCCCGTGCACAGAGACTGAGTCACGTTAAAAAAACGGCGAAAAAAAAGTTCCCTCTTTGTTGATGGAACATGGTTGTCATTTTTCGGGTTAATTCGTTTAACCGCTGATGCCCGGGATCTCCCTCTAGTGAGGCGACAAGTCAAAGCTTATTGCGCGTAGAATTCAATGGTGAATGAAAAAAGGGGTAACGACAATTTTGCTTTAATTAAAATTTCTGTCCAGTGTCACAAAAGCATATGAAAGTACCTTCGTTCCACTTGTTTTGCGAAATAAAGGAAACTTTTTGAATTCTCTCATAAACTCGAGGAGTTCATTACAATCAATAGAATTAAAAGTTACTTAACTCCAGTACTTTCCAACTTATATTTTCCGGAGAGCAACGAAATAATCAAAATAGGAAAAAATAGGGACAACTCGAGTGAAAAGAATTCTCACCAAGTGATAAACTTATTGCGTAATTCCACTGAACTCTTGCAAAGACCTAGAATGAAGCCCACAGCCGTAGAAATGAAATTAAAATGAAACTAAAATGCTCTTGTATCCTTTTGTGTAAATTAAAATAATACCGTCGTTGAATCGACATGGATAAGCGTCTGGATAGAGGAGACACCAAGAGTCTGTCAAGGTCCCCCGGAAAAGTAGAAGACACCGTTAAGAATCCAGAAAATAAAAGAAAACATAAAACGAGGAAAAAATTGATAAATTGAATAACTGATTTTCCCATTCTTGATTCAAGTTCAGATTGTACTAAAATTTAACTCATAATATTTTTCATTCGAAAAAAATCGAAAAATATTCGAAGTTATTCTTCACAAAGGAAAAGTTTCTAGTGTTCTAATCAAATGAAGTGGAAAATCAACCTGAAAATCTGGAAAATTATGATAATATTAAATTTAAGACATTTCTGTTCACAAATTAATCTATTCATGTTTCAAGTTTGCATCAAAATATTTCTATAATCCTATCTCAATGTACTTCATAGCTTCACAGTTACCGGAATTGTATCATTTAACATTTTTACTCGATTAATATTGAATCAATGTCTTCCTGATATCCTTTTCACTTGAAATAAGTAGTTTTTTTATGCTCAAGTTCAGAGATTTTCTCATTCTCATAACAAAGCACGTCAAAATCATGAATTTTTCAAAATAAGTAGCGTTGATTTGAAAATTAGAAACTTTTCGTCTCTGTGTTATCCTTCCGAAAACATTCTTCATTCTCAATTTTTTTTCCTGAATCCCCCATTTCTCATTTGATTTATATTTCAAATAAGATTTTCTTGATTCAATGACCCCAAGTCCTTGAATAACTACCCTGAGAGAAAAAATGAACTCTGCCGAAAAGCTATATGTTCCATGTGAAAATATTTGTGGACTTCCGCATGAAAAGCGACCACTTTGTCGATTCTAGTTTCCGAGATATTGACGTTTTGCCTCAGAATCTCCCATTTATACCAATGTTAAATTGTTTCTTTCATCTTCTCCACCAACGTCATTCTTGATCCTATGAGGATCATTTTGGGCTTGAAATATGCGGAATGTTATCAATATTATCAGAGTACACATAACTCCACATCAACAAAGTGGTCCCTTTTCATGCGGATGTTCACATTCGATGGAGTGGAACATATTTACTTGAGGGAACATATGTACTCGATAAAATAACGAATGTATTTACCCAGAAGCCATATAAATATCTTACGAGAGCAATTACTACTGCGAAAATTATCATGTTTTGGTGGAAGCTTTCTTTTTTGTCCAGAAGGCAAAAGCTCTCTTCACGGAAACAATTTTTCGGCAGAACTCCTTTTTTCTCCCACTGCAGTTCGCTTCCCCCAATTCCCTCTCCTCAACATCCCCAACCAACCCCCGAATAAAACCTCCTTACTCTGATTAGTAATCGTAACCCAAAAGTCGATAGTCTTCTCTGGCCCGAGTTCCTCGTAATCCCACTTCTGCCTAACCTTGACGGACCCATTAGTCATAACCGTGACCCACTGGTTCTCGTCCCTGATCTTGTAAGCCTCCTTCTCGGTCTCCTTCTCCAGCGAGAACACGATCTTCCCCTCGACATCGCCCTCGGACTCCAGGAACTCGACTTTCTTAGTGGGCCTGACGGCCCTCGTGACCCTCCTCTTCTGAATCCTGTGGACCTCCGGCTCCCTGACAACGGGCTCAGTAGTCAGAAACTTGACGACAACCCTCGCCGGTCTCAGCGTGCTCCTGCTGGGCGTCCTCAGATCGTGAGCGTCAATCATCACCTCGAGCTCGCTGTCCTCATCCACCCCGGCATCAGGCTCGCCAGCAAGCAGCATTTCCCCAGTTTGTGGTACGATAATGATCACATTCGTCGGTGTAATCAACTTATAAGCTACCCTATCCCCGTCAGCGTCCTTAGCAGACACTCTCCCAATCGTGGCAAACCTCTTCCACTTGGGCGCCCCATCCTTCTCAAGTGTCTCTATGTTCATCGGCCGCAACTCGAAACTATACTCCTCCCGATCAAACTCCGGACTGTTATCATTCTCATCCAGAACATTAACCACCCCACTGATCTTGGAAGTACTTATGTAATTGGCGTCGGATGCATGAATGATCACTGTATACACTTTCCTTACTTCGCGGTCCAGAGGTTTAGATGTTACCACTCGCACCCCCTGACTGGGTCTCTTGAGGGTGAGATTAAAGCCAGTCTCCGTGGATGTTTCCTCGGTCAGGGCAAATGCACGCTCACCAGAATCATCTGGCAGTATTGTGTAATGCACGGGGAAACTTCCGTGAGCGTGTAATACTGGAAATTCATCGACTACAGTGCCGGCTGGTGCATTCTCAATCACTTCACCATCTCCCAACTCCTCGTGGGAAAATGTCAGCATGTTGCCACGGTTTATTACGAACAAATGTACATCGTGGATTTCTGTTCTGTTCAGTAACTCCTCGAGGACGAGGAGGTTCACTGGCTTGTTGACTAGGGGTGTTAGATCAGAGGTTGTCATCACCATGCCGTTATCAAGGACTGTGAAGTACTTGGAGAAACCCGTCTCGAGTAAGTGGTAGTTCGAGGCGTGTCTCCTGTCGTGTTTCAACTGCATCACTTCGAAGCCGGGGTATACGTCGTGGGGCACCACTGATACTTTGGCATTTGTTGGTGACGTGACTATTGTCACTAGCAGAATCACTCCCACGATTGTATGCCACATTTTGCCGGTTGTTACCTAACCACGGGGGGAGCCGGTACTAGAGCATGGGTGCCAATCAGTTCTGTAACAGATAAATGGAGTTGTGATTAATTATTTGGGCGATCTGTCGGGGGAGAGGGGATGGGGGAGGTTATTTATCGAGGGTTTTGGCTTTCGAATTGATTATGCCAAGGAATCATTCTCTTGACAGAAGAATTCATTTTTTTACATTGAAAAAAAAAGTTGAATTGTGCGATAATTATGCTACATATGATTTTAAATGCACACCCTTAATTATTTTTCAATTTTTGCAAATTTGAGACAAAGAGTTTCTCTTACGCAAAATTCTTTGAAATAATTCTAAATGTTAATAATTGTCAATGGAGTTCATTCAATATATCATATGTAGCATCATCATCCCATAGTTAACAGAATTATAATATTTCGAGATGGATTTGGAGCGTCTGGGAATGATCGGTCTGGAGACGTACTCTCTTACAAACATAAATCCTTTTCGCCAAAAAATAATTCCTTGGAAACAGTAATTTTTTTCCCAGTACACGGAGAAAAAGGTTCAGTAAAAATTAAGGAACTCACAATTCGCGTGACGGTATCGTAATTTTTCACAGGAGATTCAGATAAAAATTACGGAACGCTCTAGAAAAATTCCGTGGCGGTTCCGTAAAATTTCCTACAACCACATTTCGCTCTGGAATTACGGAAAAGATGTCATTTTTATTGAATATTTCCCTCCGTGTATATCCTTCAAAATAAAAAAAAATCTGTGTGAATGTTCAACCACAGAACTTAAACATGACATCGACCAACAAGTGCGTTAAAACAAATCCAACCTTTCTAAACCTTCTCACATTCCTTCCGTCAAATTAATCCCATTGGCCCGAGACATAACCCACCACATCGACCGTGAAAATGTTCGAGATGTATTTCTCCGCAAACATCTGGACATGGAGTGTTCATAAAACAGCACCACTGACCCCAGTCCAGACGAGCCCCACTGATGGTCATTGCCAAGTGACAATAGCCCCCTGCGGGCCCCATATCTACTGGGTCCCATATAGACACCAACTATATTGTCACCACCGGAAGCAACAACCGTCGCGTACAGATTCACGTATTGTTATTTAGTAACCCCTCCCAGTTGCCATTTGATTTCATTCTCGCCTCGAGTTACTGTGACGTCTGTCTTTATCTTGCGGCAATTGGACCGGACGTGAGATCACCCGCGGGTCGTTTAAACCTCATGAGAGAGAACGGAAAGGGTCGGAAAAAAAATATACAGGAGGAAAAAACTGAGTTGTTGAGGCTGTTGTGATAATCGTCATAACCAGGCGTTTAAGATGCCATCGAGGGGCAGAGGGTAAGCAGATGCCGGAGGGGGCGGGGGAGACTGGAGGGAAATTATATTCAAGTCCCGTAGAAACACGACACCTAATCCGCATCTTGAAGCGTATTAAGTAACTGCCTTCAGCTGGCACAAGCCGGAGGCAAGCCGTCGAGTTTTATATCGAAAAACGATACATTGAGGGCACATCGTGACTTGTTGAGATGCAGATATTTTGTTTCAGGTTTTTTTGTGAGAGTCCGATGCAAATTTATGGAAATGGAGGTTGAGGGGGGGTTTTGGGATTTGTTGGAGGGGAAATGGAGCAACTCCATTTGTTGAACATTTGGTTTTTGCATTGGGGGGGGATAGAAAATGTTGATGAACTGCGTTTATTATTCTTGATAATTGAAATTAATGGGATGAATATTAAATTATTAATGATATTGGGATATATAGAAAGTGACATTTCATGGTGGGAAGAGTATTCTTTGACTCGTAGCAATTTTTAGGAGAGGGACATTGAATGCGATTCCGGCGGAAAAGAGTCATGACATTTCAGGTTTGAGAATATCCACGTACACTGTTAGAAATTCTTTGAAATTTCATGGAAGATATTATGGCAAATCTCATGAGGGTGATATTGAATCGGATTTAGAGATAAAATTGTTATGAAATTTCAAGTTTTATGTAGAATTCATGGAAATTCATGAGTTTTCAGTGGAAGTGAAATGGAAATTTCACAACCTGATTGAATTTTTAGTGGAACATGAATATTCAGGAACAAAATGGCATGGATTGTCAATGTTTTCCTGAATTTTCCGGATTTTTCTGAATTTTCACAGAATAATTGAACTGAAAATGAAGTATTTTATTGATTTCCAGATAATTTGAACAGGAAATCAATGGAATATTTGATTTTCCAGTAACAAAATTTTCTAAAATTTCAGTAGAACTTGAAAACGATAAAAATTTTTAGAATTTGGCACGGAAAATTCAGTGTAAGTTGACATAGTATGAAAGATAGCGTTCGCAACTTGTGGGAAAAGTGTTCTTTGACTGGCGGGATGGTAGCACTTGCCTTTACAATTGCAATTTCATGGACAGACTACTAATTTTCAGGAAAGTGATACGGAATGCGATTTAGACGGAAAAGAACCATAAAATTTCAGATTTCACAGAAAATTCAATGAAATTCCAAATTTTCGATCAGCATTAACACGATAGTTCGTTAACGTATTTGAATTTTCAATAAAAACATGAATATTCTGTGCCAAATTACACAGAACTTACAAGTAATGAAAAATTTAAGAATTTATGCTTATGAACTTCTGAATTTTTAATTACGAAACTCTTTGAAGATTCAGTGGCACCAAAGTGTGATAAAAAATGTTCTGCACTTTTCTGCACTTGCATGGAAATATACTATATTCCCGAGTCGAGGATTTGGTTCTGATTGGACGTACACAGGTCTTTCAAGATCTCTCGAGACCTAGATGGACCTGGTAAGTCCTAATCAGTTCTGCGACGTACTTTTCCAGAGACCATTCGAATCCTCAGTTCTTTTCGGTCCTGAGAAGTCCTCCTCGATGCTACCGAGAACGCGTGATTTTACAAGCGGGTGAAGGGGAAGGCATGTATGCGGACGGTTGAAATTTGTAGCCAACGAGGAGACAGGGTTGCAGAATATATTTTAGCCACCCTCATCTCCCCGTTTGCAGGCGGTGTTTAAATAAAAAATAGTGAACGTTGATTCTGTATTTATTGACCCCCTGATGCCAATGAAACCCTCGGAGGTGACAGAAATGGGGAAAAAAAA